CTGCAGTCTCAGTGAGCGCTGGCGTTCTCCTCCTACCCATTTCGGCACACTACTTGCGCGGATTGTGCCTCCACAGGGCGCTCCACCTACGATATCAGCGATCGCCGACGCATGAAGTCCTCCGGCTCATTTCGGCACACCTTTCATGTGGATCGTGCCCCCGCGAGGGAGTTCCACCGAGAGTCTCAGTGCGTGCGACGTATGGAGTTCCCCTGCCCATCCCGGCATACCCCTCATGCGGATCGTGGCCCCACAGGGGGCTCCACCTAGTGCCCCAATGGGCCACAGCGCATGGCGCCTCCCCGCCCACTTCGGCACACCCCTCCCACGGATTGTGCCCCCACAGGGAGCTCTGCCTACGTTCTCCGTGGGCGCCGACGCATCGTGTCCTCTCGCCCCGTTCTTCCGCCCCTTTCGGCACACCCCTCACGCGCACCGTGCCCCTCGTAGGGCGCTCCACCTGGGGCCTCGGCAGGCGCCAGAGCAAGGCGTCCCTCCTCCTCCTCCTCCTCCTCCTCCTCCTCCTCCTCCTCCTCCTCCTCCTCCTCCTCCTCCTCCTCCTCCTCCTCCTCCTCCGCCTTCACGCGCACCGTGCCGCACGGCGAGCGCAGCGCTGCCCTCCGCGCGTGCTCCGCAGCCCCCCCCCCCCCAAGTCGCAGTGTCCCGCAACGCGCGCAGTGTGTGAGGTCCTCCTCCTCCCCTTCCTCCTCCTCCTCCTCCTCCTCCTCCTCCTCCTCCCTCCTCCTCCTCCTCCTCCTCCTCCTCCTCCTCCTCCTCCTCCTCCTCCTCCCCCTAGCCGCAGTGTCCCTCAGTGCACGCCCTGCGCCTGCACGCAGCTGCATGGAGCTGGGCTCTTCGCCAGGCCGACTCCACGAGAGGCGCTGGCGACGGTACGGGGCCGCATGCGAACACCACCCCTGCCCCCCACGACTTTTGAGGGGGAGGGTGGGGTTCGCTTGGCTCGGGAGCTCCTGAACGAAGTGAACCCCACCCTCCCCCTGAGAAATCGTGGGGGGTAGGGGTAGGGTTCGCATGTGGCCCCCTAGACCGGGGTCGGCGCCGCCGCCGCTCTCGCGTGAAGCCTCTCTGCATGCACTCGTTTCTTGCGCTCGCGCGGCGGCCACTGCGGCCACGCTACTCCGAGGGTGTCGCCGCGGACGGGGACGCGGCTCCTCGGGCAGCAGGGGAAGAGGAGGAGGAGGAAGATGATGATGATGATGATGATGATGATGAGGAGGAGGAGGAGGAGGAGGAGGAGGGGTAGGGGAAAGGACGAAGAAGGGGAGGAGGGGAAAGAGGAGAAGGAGGGGAAAGAGGGGAAGGAGGGGGAGAGGAAGAGGAGGAAGAAGAGAAGAAGAAGAAGAGGAGGAGGAGGAGTAGGAGGAAGGGAAAGGACGAAGAAGGGGGCTGGCTGAAGCAGAAGAAGCAGGTTCTAGGCCTGGTGCCTGGCACGTGACCGTGACACTTCTGAGACGGAAGCACATCCCTTTCCGGGAAGTGGGGAGCATCGCGACATCGCGCAGAACAGCCTGGGGGCTCCCGGGGCACCCCGCGGCAGCCCTGCAGGAAAAAACAAAATAAAGCCGGGGGCAGTTGGCGGCCCTCCCCGCCTCAGGAGCAGTGATGCGCGGAGCAGCGGCGGGCCGCACCGCGGCGAGGCCCCGCCTGTTCGCGCGGGCGTGCGGGGGCCGCCGCCGACGCGCCTGGGGCCGGCCGCGAGGTGGGCCATTATCAGGCCCCGGGAGACTTGGACACGGATTCACCAAGGACGTTGGAGAGTCGGGGAAGCGACGCCCTTTCCTGCAAAGTCCGATTTCAATGCGATTCCTTGGTCGTCCAGTGCAGTTTTTGTCTGCTGCGCTGTATAGGATTCAAGTTTACTGTCCGGGTTTACGGGGGGGCTTTTTGCAGGCTTGTAGGGCTTGTGTCCGGGTGAATTCCGGGAGCGTTGCACTGCAGTTTTCGTTCGTGCCGCCGTCTGGGGAAACTTAGTTTGGAGGGATATTGGATGTCCCGGTCTAGCGTGTCGGGGTTTACGGGGCTCTGACGCTCTGCAAGTTTGCGAGCGTTCTGTAGCCCCCTCTGGCTCAAGCCTGGCTCAAGCACGCCCCGCCTTCGGTGCGCGCTCCTTCCGCGGTGCCATGGAGACCGTGCGCGGCGCGGTGGCGGCGGCCGCTGGCGGCCGTTTCCCCCCACGCTACCGGCGCCGCGGGCAGCGCGCGTGACGCGGGCGCCGCGGGCGCCGTGGGCGCCGCAGGCGTTACCCGTGCTACGTGCGCTGCGGGCGCCGCGGGCGCTGCGTGCGCCGCGCGCGGCGCCGCGGGCGCCGCGGGCGCCACGGGCGCCGCAGGTGCCGCCGGCGCTGCTGGCGCCGCAGGCGCCGCCAGCGCTGCTGGCGGCGACCCCAGGATAAGCAGACACAGGACTCCCACGGAATCGGGGGGAAGGTGGCGAATGGTGCTGTCGTTGGAGCGCCGGCCATATCCTTGAACGGGAGTGGTGCTGTCGCCTGAGCTGTGACTGCACTCTCGATTGGGAAGTGGGCTGTCGCCCGAGCACTGGAAGTTGCTCTCGCCTGAGCGCCAGCCATGTCCCTGATTGAAACAGGTGCTCTCTCCAGTGAGATGGCCATATCCCTGGCAGGGAGCGGCGCTCTCGCTCAAACGTTGCCACGCTTACATGCTAGGGCACTTGTGGTCTCCATCTCGGAGGGGTTGTCGGGGTTGTCTGGGGAGTTGTCCGGGATTTGTTCATACGTGTTTCCCATACAACATAGTAGTACTCGCAAGTGCATTTGCGGATCTAGGCCATTTGCGAGTAGTGGAACGCGCTCGTCTATTGGAGAACCGACGGCAGCATCTTCGCCTGCGTAGCCAGCAGCACCGACGCTAGCATCCTCGCAAGCACAGCAGCCGACAGCTCCGACTCTCACGTCCTCGTCAACACAGCGGGGATCGCAGACGCCAGCATCCTCGCCAGCACAAGTCGCAGCACCGACGTCAGCGTCTTTGCCGGCGCAGCCGAGAACACCGCCGCCAGCGTCCTCGTCAGCACAGCCTGGATCACCGACGCCAGCATCCTCGCAAGCACAGCTTGGAGCACCGACGCCAGCATCCCCGCCAGCACAGCCGGCAGCTCCGACGTCCGCGTCCTCGCTTGCACAGCCGAGAGCACCGACGCCAGCATCTTCGTCAGCAGAGCCTGGATCACCGTCCCCAGCATCCTCGCCAGCACAGAGGGGAGCACCGACTCCAGCGGCCCCGTCAACACATCTGGTGGCACGGCCGCCAGCATCCTTGCCACCACAGCCAGGAACATGGACGTCAGCACCTTCGCCAGCACAGCCAGGAGCACCGACACCAGCATCCTCGCCAGCGCAGCCGAGAGCACCGACGCCAGTATCCTCGTCAGCACAGCCTGGATCACCGGCGCCAGCATCCTCGCCAGCGCAGCCGGGGTTACCGACGCCAGCATCCTCGCCAGCACAGCGGGGAGCACCGATGTCAGCATCCTCGCCAGCACAGCGGGGAGCACCGACGTCAGTATCTTCGTCAGCACAGCCAGCGGCTCCGAGGCCCGCATCCTCCCCAGCAAAGATGGGAGCACCGACGCCAGCGTCCCCGTCCGCACAGCCTGGATCACCGTCGCCAGCATCCTCGCCAACACAGCGGGAAGCACCGACGCCAGCATTCTCGCCCTGACATACATACGGGAGCACGGACATCAGCATCCTTGCCTGCGCAGCTGGGGGCACGGACGTCAGCATCCTCGCCAGCGCAGCCAGGAGCACCGACGCTAACATCTTCGCCAGCGCAGCCGACAGCACCGACGCCAGCATCCTCGTCAGCACAGCTTGGATCACCGACGCCAGCATCCTCGCCAGCGCAGCCGAGGGCACCGACGACAGCATCCCCGTCAGCACGGCGGGGATCACCGACCTCAGCATCCTCGCCAGCACAGCCGGTAGCTCCGCGGCCGGCATCCTCTCTGGCACAGACGGGGGCACCGACGCCAGCGTCTTCGTCGGTACAGCCAGGGGTGCCAGCGCCAGCATCCTCGCCAGCGCAGCAGGGAACACCGACGTCAGCGCCCTTGCCGCGCCAGCCAGGCGCACTGACGCCAGCATCCTCGCCAGCGCCTGCCGCTGCTCGGCGAGGTGTGGGCGGCGAAGCTACAGCGCCCCGAACAGCGAGGGCGAGAAGGGCGAGCCCTGGCAGCGGGCCCCGTCGACGCTGAGCGAGATGCGGGCGGCCAGGCTGGGGCCCGCCCTCGCGCGCCGCAGCACCCCCATCAGCGCGCGCGAGGAGTGCGAGCCCGGGCAGCGAGCCCTGTCGCTGCTGAACGAGATGCGGGTGGTGAAGCTCGGGCCCGCCGTCGTCGCGAGCCTCGCACCTTTGGCTTTTTCGCCGCTCCATCCGGCACCCAGCTCCTCCTCGCTCGTCGCCCGGCCTGGCGCTCGCGCCGAAGCGTTCTCCCCGGCGCAGCGCGGCCCCCCGGCGCCGGCGCTCTAGCCCGCGCTGCTGGGGGCACCCATGCCAGTGCCAGTGCCCTCGCCAGCCCAGTCGCTACCACCAGGCATCGGTGCCGCACCATTTGGCATGGTCTTGTGCCGACCTGGTGACGTTGTCGTCATGCCCTCGCACGCCGACCCGCCCTCGGCTTTTGACCGCCTTGGGGGCCGCGTGGCTTCCGCGCCCCAGGGAGCGATTGATGCGACCGTCCGCGTCGTGGAAGCTGGCGGAGATGAGCGCGCCTGCGGCACCGGTGCCGCTCCGTCTGACACAGCCTTTTGCCCACCTGGTGATGTTGTTGCCACGCCCATGCGCGCCGACCCGTCAGTCTCGGTTTCTTGCCGCCCCGGGGGCAACGCTGCTTCCACGCCCTGGGACCCGACGGACGCAGGAGGAGGAGGAGGAGGAGGAGGAGGAGGAGGAGCCTTCCGCGGCGAAGCCGGTGGCGGGGAGAACGAGCGCCTCCCTCGGCAGCGGGCAGACCGCCGGCCTTCCTCGCGAGCACGTCGCTTCCTCCCGCGCTGTTCTGGCCATTCGCCGCCCTGGCCAGGATCCCAGAGATCCAACGTATTGAACAAATCAAGACTTTTTTTTTTTTTTTCCTTCCTCCATCGGCCGTGGGGCGTCAGCGCCCCGCCACGGCTCGCCTGCGCCTGCGCGCGGGCCCCTGCGCACAAGGGCTGGGCAGGCCCCATTCCCGAAGGCCTGACCCACAGGAAAACCGGCCTCGGTGCCCCCTCACCGGGCCTCTCAGGCGTCGCGGGCGCGACCCTCCACGACCTCGCCGCCCATCGCAACGCCCGTGTAGGGGTTGCGCCCATCCAGCAATCGGTCTCGGCGTCGGCGCCGCGCCTGGTCCCTCGGGGCGTTGGTGAGCTTGCCTGTGCAGCCATCCAGGGCCCGTCGAGCTCGGCACCTGTAGAACGCCCCGCACACGCGGCACACCACGAAGTCGCTGGCCGTCACCCAGCGGTGCTCGCGCGCAGGGGCGGGGGGCGGCCGCGGCACGTCGGGGCGCCCAGGGCGGGGCGAGCCTTCGCCGCCGTCACCGCCGCCGTCGCCCTCAGCGCCCCGCCTCGGAGGCGGCGGATCGCCCTGCCGGCGCCGCCGCGCCTGCCGATTTGCTCGCGCGGCCTCCACCTCGGCCTCAGGTCTGCACTCCTCGCGGTCCAGCTTCCGCTTGCCCGCCTGCGTGCGGCTGTGGGCCTTGCAGCGGCGGCAACGCCACGTCGTCCCGTGGAGGACCAACTCGTGACCACGATGGACTGGCGGGCGACGTCCAGCATTCCCCTGATGCCGCGGCCCCCTCCTCTCGGCCACTGCTGTGGCGACCCCCGCCAACAGCACGCGAAAACTTGCCACGTACTCCATAACCCGCTTGATCTGCCTGCTGCGGGATTTGGCCAGGGCCACCGCCCACTCGGGGACCGGGCACTGGGCGGCTCCTTGCTTCGCCAGCTTGTCCACCGCATCGTTCATGCGGTAGCGCTCCTGGTCCACCTCGTCCATCTTCGCCCGATGCTTCTGGGACGTGTGGGACTTGACCTTCACCACCGCCAGACTGACGCCAGGGCTGAGGTCGCGCTCGTCCAGCAGGTCCCAGATCCAGGTCCATAGGTGCGCACAGAGGACCGCGCTGTTGCAGCAGCGGGCACGCCCCGACAACAGCCCGTCAACGGCCGCCTGGTTGTCTAAGAGCACCTCGGTCACCAAACCCGCGTGCTGCAGCATCATTGCCAACGCCCACAGCTCCGCGACGAGGCTGCTCGTTGCCGGTACGGGGAGGGGGCCCCACAGGCCTTGTGCGAGCTCGCCCCGCTCGAACATCACGACCGCCCAACCGCCCGCGCGAAGGCGGACCCAGCTCGGATTGACCACCGAGCCATCTGTAGCCACTCTCCCGTCGAATATCCCTGGGCCGTCCATGCGCCCCCAGTGCTGCTCGGCGGCTGGCAGCTTCCAGGTGACACCGATAGTTGGGTCGGCCATGAGTCCACGTGTCCACAGCCATTCGTCCCTCGCGGAGGCGCCGAGGTGCACCACGTCGCGGAAGTTGGCGGGGTCATTGTGGTCTGACAGCTTCGCCCTCGCCTCCTGGCACTGGGGCGCCGCGCACCGCCAGTAGAGGTGCATGTTGCTGCCTTCCTCCTGCCCGCACAGAGGGCAGTCTGGGCTCTCCGCCCTGCCCTGTGCGAAGAGGGCCCGCTGCTCCGGGTAACCGCCCAGCGTTGCCACCTTCGCCGCATTGCGGTGGTGCTTGGTCCAACCCTTCGCCAATTGCTTCTTCTGCAACTGGCGGAGCGGCGCCAGCCAAGGCCTCGGTCTGAGCACCTCGCGCCCGCTGCTCGCCACCCAGGTGTCGAGCTTGACGCCGCTCAGGGTCTCCTTAGCCCGCGCCGCCACCTCCTTCGGACACTCGCGCAACATGTCGATGACTCGGGC